TCAGTGGGGTGCCAGGCACGTGCTGGTACGCGGATGCCACTGGCTCTGCACATACATACCCCAGGCTTTCCTTCTGAGCAGTAAAATGCAGGGAAAGTGACTCATATGTCCCCTAAGCCACTGCCTTGTGGCCCCTGCTCTTTAACGACCCATCCACCACTCGGCACGCACTGCCTGATGATTATGGTTTCCTTGACCTTCAAGAATGACCCCACAGGCAGCTAGGGATGCTTTCAGTGGCTCAGGACTGTTTGGGGGCAGGCAGACAGGAGGTGAGGACTCCAGAGGTTCTGGATAAGATAACTGTTTGGAGTCAGAACACATTTCTAAGCAATAGGCTTCCAAATTCACTACAGAGTCTGTTTACTTCGTAATATACTTGAGCTCTAGCTGGAAAGGCCAAGAGGAACGAGGGCAGGTACCAGCTAACATTTCTTGAGCACCTAGTATGTGCCAGGCCTTCTATATAGGTTATGTCACTTAATTTACCTGAAATCCTCTGAGGGGGCGTCTTTCAGTACACGTGGTGTCTTAGTTGTCTAGTGCTGCTATAACAGACATACTGCAAGTGGGTGGCTTTAACGAACAGAAATTTATTCCCTCACAGTCTAGGAGGCTAGAAGTCCAAATTCAGGGTGCCAACTCCAGGGGAAGGCTTTCTCTCTGTGTTGGCTCTGGGGGAAGGTCCTTGTCATCAATCCTCCCCTGGTCTAGGAGCTTCTCAGTGCAGGGACCCCGGGTCCAAAGGATGCGCTCCTCTCCTGGCTCTTGTTTCTTGATAGTATGAGGCCCTCATGTGTCTCTTCTCACTTCTCTCCTTTATGTCTTAAGAGATTGACCCGAGACACAACCTAATCTTGCAGATTGAGTCCTGCCTCACCAACATAACTGCCTCTAATCCCACCTCATTAACATCATGTTGTCGTTGTGTGCCGTTGAGTCGATTCCGACTCGTAGTGACCCTATGGGACAGAGTAGAACTGCCCTATGGGGTTTCCAAGGAGCAGCTGGTAGATTTGAACTGCCGACCTTTTGGTTAGCAGCCTGAGCTCTTAACCACATCACCACCACAGCTCCATTAAACATCATAGAGGTAGGATTTACAACACATAAGAAAATCACATCAGGTGACAAAATGGTGGATAATCATATAATACTGGGAATCATGGCCTAGCCAAGTTGACACACATTTTTCGGGACACAATTCAATCCATAACACATGGTATGTTACTCAGAGAGGACCTCCCTTGGCTGAGGTCACACAGATAGTAGGTGGCAGGGCTGGGGTCAGACGAGGCCCATCTGACATCATACCTGGACTCTTTCTGCTTCAGTCAGTGCCTCCCGTAGCACTGGAACCTGGCACCCCATGTGGCGTACTATTGCGGGAACACGTATCCACGGCTCCTACCTCAAAGCCAGAATACCCTGCCCTTCAGACCTCTCCTGGAACTGGAACCCACCCTGAATAAGGTGAGAAGCGGGGTTGAAAGGCAGGGCATGCTGGTCCCTGATAACAGAGGGGCAGGCAGGGACGCAGAGTCTTCTCAGCCACATCTTTTGGTATGGGTATTTCTGCTTGTCCTGAGTATGTTGCTGTGATCCTTGAATTAGAGAGAGTTCACCCTTTCCGCTTGGTGATTACCTCAGAAAGCACACCCCAGCCTCCTTCCCGTCGCGTCCCCACTCTGGGATGTGTATCCATAAGTTCACCTCTCTCCCTTGGTCCTACCCCCACACCCCTGTTCTCCCTCACCCTCCTGGCCTTGGCCCTTGTGTGCACATTAGTTTATTTGTTCATCATAGACTTATTGGGCACTGGCTCTGGGTTGGGCTAAGGGAGCTGGGGAGGCAGCCCTTTAGGAGGCTGACTGACATCTTCTCTCGCCTATGCCATTGGCGGTGCTTACCTGACTTGTCTCTTGCTTGTATATGAGTCCTCTCTTGGAAACCAAGAGCAGTCACTCAACTGTGATGACAAGTGGCCCCACGCCTGCCTTTGATGTGCCCTCAGCGGGACTCCCCCTGGCCACTCCTCAGCTCTACCTCTTGCCTGTGAGATTCAGGAACTGGCCCTTCTTCCTGGCAGAGGCCCCTCTCCCTGCTGGCCACCCACAGGTTCTACTAAAAGGATTCTGGCCTTGCCTCCCAGCCCCTCCCTTTCCAGGGTCCCATGATGCCTCTATCACTCAAGTGGGCATGGTGCCCCAAATGACATCCCAGCCTCTTTGAGGACCTAGGGAACACACTGCTGAGGGAGGGAGACCCTGCCTTCCTGCCTGCCTTCCTCCCTGCCTTCCACTCTCCCTTCCTCCTTTCCCTCCTGACTGTGAGCTCGCACGGGAGGGCTTGGCTGTGATTGGCACCTGTGTATTCTGCACACGTTTGTGGATGAAATCGAAGGCTTCTGAGGCCGCAGCTGCAGACTGCTCCTTTTGCTAACGCAGCTTGTGCCGATGATAGGTGGAGAATTACAGCTTTTACGGAATCAATGTCTGCTCATCAACACACCCTTGACTTTGGGTTGAGAATAATTTAAATTCATCTTTTCATTCTGTCAGGTACCTGGTTGGCACAATGTTTGTGCTTGACTACCAATCGAAAGGTTGGCAGTTTGAACCCACCCAGTGGCACTGTAAAAGAAAGCCTGGAGATCTGCTTCTGGAAAGATTATAGGGAAGAAAACCCTGTGGAGTTCTACTCTCTAACACCCGGGGTCGCCATGAGTTGGATTCGATTCGATGGCAACAAATGGATTTTCCTGAAAACGAGCTTGGCAGCTTTTCATGGTAACAAATGAGACTCCTGAGCTAGTCGGCATGGCGGGGTGGAGGAGCACAGCCAGGGCTTTCCCTGCTCTGGCTGGCCAGGTGGACTTTGTGCAGCTCACCTCGCCAAGCCTGAGGTTCTTCATCTGCACAAGGAAGACAAGAGTGATGCCTGACTTGTAGGTTTATCATGAAGGTTAGACAAGGTAATGCAAGGACAGTGTTTGTATCAGAGGCGGGCAAACAGAAGGCTCTCAGTAAATGGTAGTTGGCTACCAAGTTACACTTGGACTTTGAAGGAAATCTGAGACTATAGAAAAGCACACACATATGTAGTTTATTTACAAAAGTGCAATAGCATTGTACAAACTTTAAATACTTGTTCACAATAATTGAGGATACTCTTCCTTAAACCTAGAGAGCAAGATGTTATTTTTTTTTTGAGTATCTATTATGGGCTAGGTGCTGTTCAGAGGCTCAGAGAGGTTAAGTGCTGGCTGAGGCCCTCAGGGCTGGCCCATCTGAGCCCTGTGGTCCATCTGTGTCCCCTAACCATTTACACCTTCCCCACTTGGTTCTTGGGACTATACCGGGGCCACTTCAGCAGCAGCATCCTGAGTATCCTTACACAAGGACTTTGCCCTCTTCTCTCCCACCTGCAACAGGGCTGCGCCTCCGGGATACTTCCTTCATCACCACCATCGCAGTAACCGACAAGGTCTGAAATTTGTCCTCTGGCCCCAGCGGAAGAGTTGCCCAATCGTCTCCAGTGTTTCTGCCCCATTTCTTCTTCCTCTTTAGGAAGGTAGCTGCATCCTGGGGAGGCTTGGGAATCCTATCACTTGGTGCCCCCAAACCTTCTCACTCATCCGCATACGCCCCACTGTCTACCTTCCTGTGCCTGGATACAGGGTCCGCTGAGGGACTGGGGGTGGCCAGTTACTTCTCCAACGGCTGGGCCCAAAGGGAAAGTGGGCAGAAAGGGACTAAGGAAGGGATAGTGCTAGGTTGTGCAGGAGAGCTGGGCTTGTGGGGAATCCTTGGGAGCCCAGAACATTCAGCCCTGCAGGACCTTGATTTAGGGGCATCTCCCTATCCCCTCCCTGGAGCTGTGGCTAGAGAAGACTCTGTCTTGGCAGGAGTTGGGAAAATCTGGGGCTCTGAAGAGCACTGGTGGTACAGTTCGAACCCACCAGCCACTCCACAGGAGAAAGATGTGGCAGCCTGCTGCTGTAAAGATTTACAGCCTTGGAAATGCTATGGGGCAGTTATACTCTGTTAAATAGGGTCACTATGGATCCGAATCGACTCGATGGCAACAGGTTTGTGTTTTTTTTGGTTTGGAGCTCTGAAGAGGGGGCCCTGTCAGCCTCCCAAGGCTGTCTGATTTCCCCAAAGCCCCTGTGAGCCATGTTCCCTGCCTGTCTGAACACCTGCAGGCAGGCCTCAATCTCTCCTTAGCTGATTGCCCCACAATCCCTCAAGCAGGCTTCGGGCCTTTCAGCCTTCCTCTTGCAGCTTTTTCTAGACCTAAGTAGGCTCTGTGAATCAGAAGCGGAATCGGGTTTGCTTTTTTGTTTTTTGGAAGCAGGCTCTGTCAGAAGTAATTCTCTACCACCAGCGTGGCCCACACACCCAGCAAATAAAATGGCTCTCTCCAAACCAGACACCCTACGGTGGGGCTTGGAGGGTATGCTCCGAGCCCAGGATGGATGCTCCAAGGACTCTGCCACCCTGGGTACTTGGCTGGGCCGCGCACAAGTTAGCACTGTGGTCATGAATGTCTGGGGCCTGTGCTCAGGACCCGCTCAAGGGAAAATGACTACGCAAGCCCGGGTTCATTAAACGCGCACACAGGCATCTACTGTCTGACACGCTCTGTGCTGTGCTCGCGGGGAACGCGACGTCGACGCCTGGACCTTGGGGAAGCGAATTCGTCGCCTTCCCAGCGGTCTCGGTCAAAAGGGTCGGTCTTCCGGCAAGGCCGGCAAATGAGCTGTAACGTCCTGCCAGCAGCAGGTGGCATACCACCACTCCGGAACCTTCTCTGCCGAGGCAGGGAACCCGCACCGACGGAGAACTGCAGCACACCTGGACGCCACACTTCCCAGCCACACCCACGATGGCAACTTGCCCAGGCCTATTACTGAGCCCCGAGCAGGCGCACTTCCGCTTGCCCTGCCCAACTTGGCAACCAGCACGCCCCGGGGCGGGGCCAAAAACGGAAGTGGGTGTGGCAGGGACGGGAGCCGAGTGGGACTCTTGTGACTAGAGACTGGGGAGTGGGAGTCGCAGGGTTCGGGGAGATGATCCCTCCGCAGGAGGCGTCCGCCCGGAGGCGGGAGATCGAGGACAAATTGAAGCAGGTGGGGCTGGGGCTGAGGAAGCGGGGGAAGAGGTGAGGGAAAGGGGCCAAGATTGGGGCCCAGGCATCTACTCCCCGAGGAGGCAAGTGGGAGGGGGCACTCCCAGCGAGGAAATGGGGTTGGGGGCGAGGGGCGAGGCTGAGGGCCCGGGGACGCATTGATTTCCTTTAGCCTCTGGCTTCTCGTGATGTCCTCCCCTCCGCTTCCCCTAGGAAGAGGAGACGCTGTCCTTTATCAGAGACAGCCTGGAGAAGAGCGACCAGCTCACCAAGAACATGGTGAGTAGCTGAGGGGCAGACGGAGCTCCAGATTCCTGGAGGAGAGCCTTGCGGACCCTATGCTTCCCGGGCACCTAAGGCCTGGGGTTCTGGCATGGGTGGTGATGGTTGCACCGTGTGGGATTCTCTGGCAATGATATGGCATCTATCTTACCTAGCCCCCGTCCCTATTTGATACCCCCGCACTGACGATCCTGTAGCCCCCGCTGGCCTGGACTTTCTAAAGCTTTCTGTCCAGGCTCTCAATAAATGTTAATTTCCTTCTTTATACCTGGGTGAGACTGGACAGGCACCGTTTGAGTAGATGCAGACTTGGAATTTGTGTTCTACAACACGATACCAAGGTCCTGCTACGAGTCAGAGTCCACTCGACGGCAGCGGTTTTGGTTTTTAGTCCTTATTTAATGAAATTCACTCTCAGAGAATGAGGGTTTTGAAGATGCCAGCCACGCATTTGAGACTACTCTGAATGAAAATATTTCCTGTTCGGTCTAAGAAAGGTTCAGAGAGAACAGAAATTGAGATTTGGCTTCAGAGGGTGAAAGGGAAGCCGTCCTGGGATGGTTGTCTTAGGAGAAGTTAATTTGATGCTTGGCTTACCTTCAAATCAAATTTCAGCCAATCTTTTTTTGACCACCTATTATGTGTCTGGTACATGGGAGGTGCTGGGGAGGTAGTGTTGAACCAGTAGATCTTATTCCTTCCCTTATAACGCTGATTGTCTAGAAAACCAGAGAAAAGGCAGGCAATGTCGAAGGCCTGGTGGTTGGATAGAACAATGCTGGGACAACCCTAAGACCTGAGAGCCCGAGGCTCTCTCCCCACAGGTATCGATCCTGTCATCCTTCGAGAGCCGCCTCATGAAGCTGGAGAACTCGATCATCCCTGTACACAAGCAGACGGAGAATCTGCAGCGGCTGCAGGAGAATGTAGAAAAGACCCTGTCTTGCCTAGACCACGTCATCAGTTACTACCACGTGGCCAGTGATACCGAGAGGATCATCAGGGAAGGGTGAGCCAGGCCCAGAGGGCCACATCCCTCTGCCTCTCTGGCCAGCAACTCTAGGCCTTTGATGGGAAAGCAAGACTATATTGGAACCTAGAGTCCCCTGTGTCACTTATCTTCTGCCCCCTCCAAATACCCTGCCCTTTGTCCTTTCTCTTTATTGCCCCTAGGTTGATCCGACTCTCTTCTTTCTCAGCCCCACAGGCAGGCTGGAGGAGTACCTGGGAAGCATGGCCAAGATTCAGAAGGCTGTGGAGTATTTCCAGGACAATAGCCCAGACAGCCCAGAGCTCAACAAAGTGGTAAGGGGCCAGCAGAGTAAAGTGAGAAAGTTAGGACCTCAGACCCTGCCCTGGCGTCATGAGGAGCACAGGACCAGGTTAAAGGAATATGTAGTAGAATAAACAGAAGTGGACAGTAGAATACAGATCCTGGGTGGTGCAAGCCATTTACAATCGGCTGCCAACCTAAAGATTGGCGGTTCAAACCCACCCAGCGGCCCTGATGAACTGCTTCTATAAAGATTACAGCCAAGAAACCCTATGGAGCAGTTCTACTCTGCAATGCATGGGATCGCCATGAGTCGGGGGCTAACTTGACCACAGCCAGCAACAACAACAATGGTAGAATATACATACCATCGACGTTACAGTATGCCCCGGGCATTACAGATTTACCTTGTTGTTGCATTTATAAAATTTAATTATAAATTATGTGTTTAAACTATAAACTTAACATTTATTTCTATGAATGCATTTGAGGTTTTGTGTTATGTCTTCGTGTTTGAGTACTGGGGTCATTAGGTCATCAGATGGGGTAAGACTGAGAAGTGAGGTTTACACAGCGCATTGAGGGAAGAAGAGAATGTAGACAAGAGGAATGGGCGAAGGAGAGGCCCAGACGTCTGGGAGGGTGAGTGGATCTGAGCGTATTAAGGGAGAGGCGGACTTGGACCCAGTCAGCTGGCACCCTTTCCTGGTGGCACCACACTTCTAGCCCTAAGGTGGGAGTCTTGCCTAAAAGAGGGAGTAAGTGGAGGAGCAAAGATGGGAAACCAACCGTTCTCCCAACCAGAAAGCTTTGGCTCAGAGCAGTGCTTCCAAGCTTTTCTTCCAGTGTGGTGCTCATCAGAAACGAGAGTGTTTGTATGGCATGCTGGGGTTAACTGCTAACCGGCTGGTGGTTTCTGACTGCCCAAGGCCCCACCTGGCTGCCTTGAGGGCGACAGGATCAACACCTTGGTACGCCTGTAGCCCACTGGAGGCACGCCAGCATAATCAGTATGTATACTGCAGCCTGGAGCCCTAGTGGTGTGGTTGTGAAGAGCTTGGCTGCCAACCAAAAGGTCGGCAGTTCGAATCCACCATCTGCTCCTTGGAAACCCTATGGGGCAGTTCTGCTCTGTCCTGTACGGTTGCTATGAGTCGGAATTGACTCGATGGCAATGGGTTTGGTTTTTTTTTTTTTTTTTTTTTTTAACTGCAGCCCAAGAGTCAGGAGCCTGTGTCTCAGAGATTGGGATGTCGGGCTGCAGAACGTGTTTATAAGGGTCGCTACTACGTTTTCATCACAGCATGCAGAGCTCTGTGCTGGAACTTGGGTGTGAGGATGGAGAAAGAGAATATAAAACATACAAAACTATTGGTTTGCCCTAGGAGACTGACTTTTCATTTAAGTAGAAATATTTTAACTCCTTTCTCTGTTTTTTTTTTTCTTTAACATTTTTATTGGGATATAATTCACATGCCATAAAATCTCCCCATTTAAAGTGTAAAATTCAGTGGTTTTAGTAGAGTCAGAGTTGTGCCCTAGCGCCACAATTAGTTCTAGAACATTGTCATTACTACAAAGAGAAATCCCGTGCCCCCATTCTCCCTCCCCCCAGCCCCTGACAATCACGCTTCTGTTTTCTATCTTGGTAGTGTTCTATTTTCTGTCTGGACTTCTCACATAAATGTCGTCATGCACCATGCAGTCTTCTGTGGCTGGCTTCCTTCACTCAGCATAGTATTTTCAAGGTTCGTCCACGTTGTAGCTTGTGTCAGGACTCCATTCGTCCTCTGCCTCAGTAGCATTCCATCGTATGGAGAGAACACATCTCATTTATCCATTCATCAGCTGATGGCCGTTGGGCTTATTTCCACTTTTTGGCTATTATGAGAAATGCTGCTGTGAACACTTGTGTACGAGTTTTGTGTGGACGTATATTTTCATTTCTCTTGTATAAATATCTAGGAATGGAATTGCTGGGTCATATGGTAGTAACTCTGTTTAACCGTTTGAGGAACTGCCGGGCTTTCCCAAAGCAGCTGCACCATTCTACATTCCTACCAGCAATGAGGCTTCCAATTTCTCCACATCCTCGCTAACACTTGTTATTTTCTGTTTTGTCTTGTTCATTTGTTTATTAATTAGTTAATTATTATAGCCACCTAGTGGGTGTGAAGTGATATCTTGTGGTTTTGATTTGTATTTCCTTAATGGGTAATAATGTTGAGCATCTTTTCATGTGTTTATTAGCCATTTGTATATCTTTTTTGGAGAAATGTCTATTCAAATCCTTTGCTCATTTTTAATTGGGTGATTCTCTTTTTTACTGAGTTGCAACAATTCTTTATATCATTCTGGATACCAGTCCCTTATCAACTACGTGATTTGCAAATGTTTTCTTTCGTTCTGTAGTTTGTCTTTTCACTCTCTTGGTGATCTCGTTTGCAGGATGAATGTTTCTGATTTTGATATACTTCTATTTCTGGGTTTTGTTTTGTGACCCCTTTTCTAACAAGACTGTTTAATAAACAGTGTGGTGAAAAAATAACCAACCAGCGTTTATTAGCATCTACTTCTTGCAAAATTCTGGGGTTTGACCTGTGATCATACATTTTGAGAGAACGTGGGGTAAAGGAACAATCAAAGAAGGGTTCCTGGTGATTCTTCTC